TAAAACAAAACAAAACAAAACAAAACAAAACAAAGCATGCATGAGGGACTGCAAAGGGTAGAACATCTCCCAGGTATGGAGTACCCATGAAAAGAAGGTGGCAAAACAAAAAACAGTGGAAGCAGTGAAGAGCACAAATGAGATTCAGGACTAGGACTATCAAATAAGAAAGGAAAAATGGAAAGGAAGGAAGACAAGTGCTTTAGGTCCAGTTTCTCTTTTAAAAGAGCTCTCAAGCCCGGTAAACTTTTGTGACGACAACACATCAGAGCACTGAACCTGGCATCAGGTTATGGCATCGTACATTGACAGCAAATTTAAAATAAGGATGAGTGCTCATGTTTTGTTGAAATTCTCAAAAAGGGATAAGAAATAGCTGTTGTTCTCAGCTCAGTACTGGGCAGTGCTACTCAGCCTAGCACCACATGCAAATGGGGAGGTAGACATACACTATAACCCTGTCCAACCTGTATCTAATTTGAGATTATAAGGTCTATTAACCTGTGAAGTAATTTTACAGTACTTCAGGAGTTGAGACTACTCATTTACTTCAAACTGATTTGACAAAAAAATTCTTATCCTTTTAGGCTTTTTAAGTAAAAGAATTATAATAAAGTGCAATGTCAATTACAGGGCACAGGAATTTTTAACATATAGTCATCAGAATACAATTCAAAAACTATTTGTACCATGCTAACAATTGATCTGGTTTTTTTTTTTTGATCTGTTTTTTTTTTTTAAATTGATCTGGTTTTTTTTTTTGGTTTGTTTTTTTTTTTTTATTCACCAGGGCTTGTCTCAGAAGTATGCACAGATCTGGCTAGCCACACCCTAAATTGTGGCTTTCCCTCCTAAGTGTTTTTTACTGTCTCTTTGATAGAATCAGACTCTTACATGGAATGGGCACCAGTTCATCACTTCACACATCACTAACACTGAGATTTTGGTAATGACCTTAACTGATTCAGCTGCCTTAACTGATACTTGTATTATTGGGAAAGCCAAGAAGTGTAAATTTGGTAAAGCATTGCCTAACTAGTCAGAAAACAATCAATTCCTCTTTTTGCTAGAATTTACAGCTTGACACACCTAAGCCAGTATATAGGAGTACTTTATTAACTCTTCTGTGAACAGAAGAGCATGACAAAAAGAAACAGAGGTGCCTTGCATGCAAGCATTTGTAAAATTTTACCTAAAGAACACCAGGATTTTAATTTGGAACTGACCAGATGAACATTTATTTAAAAGTTGAAAATAAAAAAACCCTAAGTAACGATGACCACATCTACTTGATTCAGACAAAATAATAAAGCAGTTGATAATGGATTAACCTGGAAATTACATAAGTAACAACATTCACGTCAGCTTACAGAAAACAGATTCTGTTGAAGTAACTCTATTTTTTTCATATTACAAATTTGCTTGACATTTATAAAGGGGAGGGAATGAGATTCTGCAGTCTGACTTCCTGCCTAGCACCATCCATACTACTTCTAGGTTGAAATCCTATCTTCATGTTTCAGAAAAAACATTCTGCATATTTTTTTAAATGATCAAATGTAGAGAATTCTTGTAAGCTGGGATAACTTGCATTGGTTGTTGATTTCCTGGAAAGTGAAAATCGATGTGTGGTATTTGTATTTGCTGGCTTGCAAATACAAATACCATACATGGATTTTAACTTGGCTTGCAATTTCTAGACAATGAGAACTAAAATCCTAAGATAGCTGGTAAAATCTAATATTCCCACATTACCAAACTTCCACTTCATAGATGCCAAAACAAATATAAAGCAATAATGATGTGCACTTTTGTAGGATTCTCCTGAACCTTCATCCAAACAGTGAGTTATGCTGGTTTTAGTTATGCAAGTGTCAAAACCAGAGAAAAAGCATTTTCTTCACTGCACTCTGTTTTCTGTTTATACTTCTAAATAGGCTATTGGCTTTCTTGAATCTGAAATCATGACGCATTCTCATAATCAGCAGATGAGTCATACAAACTCTTAGGTTTTACAGATTCATTGTTCTTCAGGTAGAAATCAGAGAATCAAAGAATTTTTAAGGTTAGAAAAGACTTCTAAGGTTATTGAGTCCAACCATTATTTCTTCATCTTATACATGAATCTACTGATATGCAACCATTATGAAAGACAGTTTCATTTATTTTTATTGTGTTTACTAAAGCACAGATGTCCCAGATAATGGACAGATGCAAATGAGAAGGGGGTGAAGTAGAATTAAAGTCCTGCACTGATATTTTTTTACATGTCCTGTAAAAATCATACAATGTTTTCAGAAACAACAACAAAACAAATAAAAAAACCAAACAAAAAACCCCAACAGCAACAAAAAATTAGAAGAAAAGGCATTTCTAATAATTTTGTCTACAAAGACAAGAAACCTGAAATTCTTTGATGAAGAGATGATTTGGATACATTTTCATATTTTTTCAGCTTGTTAATGACTTTCAAGCTTCTGAATTTCTCATAGAGAAACACACTGTAGTCTAAAAAATACAGTGCATGTAAGATGCATCTCCAGACCAGTCAGAAGCTGGTTTCATTACTCACACAAGAGTGGGGGTGAGCTGAGAGAAGGATGTCCTATTACATGCTTCTGCAACAAGCAAATCATATCCTTGGTGGGGACACACTGCCAGGCCATAAGGGCTTTTGTCTCATCAAGTGCAGCAGTTCATACTACCAAAGTATATTGCTTATATAATAGCAGTACAGCAGAACAAGAGTTGCCTCCTGGTTTGTCTTGTGAAATTTTGGCCTCTAAGCATTCACGTATATACTTCAAAAATACTATTTTAGCACGCAAATGCTGCAAAAGCTTCTGGGAGAAACTAGTGTGATGTGAAAATTAACACAAACCTTTTTCCTCAGATTTCAAAGGAAGGCAAATAAAATCGGGGCAGGAACACGGGGTCAGCATAACAAAAATAACTTAGTCTTCAGAAAGACTTACAGTCTCAGGGTTTACCGCTGCAATTATGGAATAGATGTGTAGCACGTCAGATTAAACAATATTAATTTAATCAATTAATTAAATATTTGCCTCTAAATTGTATGTTTAAATTTGTCATGTACACACAGAACAATAAATATTATATTTCATTCACCTGTCTAGGTTGCTGCTGTAGACTGATCACCACAACCTTTCATCTCCTAAGACAACAGCTTGGTAAGTATAATTTCAGCTACCAACGATGGTACCTACCTCTCATTCCCACTATTATTAGTCATTTCATTTATGCCAAAGGAAATCCTTGCTACACAGTAAAGTTTACTGCAAAACTGATCTTTGGAATAATCTTTCTTTCTTTTATCTTTTTTTTTTTTTTTTTTATTAAGTGACTACAAATTAACTCACCCTAAATCTGTAAGGAAAAATATAGTATTCCATATTGAACAAAGGGGTGGAGCTGAACAGACAAAAGGACAAATTTTAATAGTGAAAATCAAAACAAAGAAAGAAGCTAACAGGCCTTTAAAAAGGACATTATTAATAACATCCTTCCACAAAGAACTATCATTAGAGTGGGTCTTGGTTTTTTTTTCTCCTATGATAAAAAGCCTTTATAATTTAATCACAGATAAAACTAGCCCACATATTTTATTAATACATTTTGTCCTCATGCATTCCACCATGAAAGTATTTGCTGCAACAGAAGACACCTATCAGTTTATACTTAGCTTCACAGAGTTTGTAGTCTGTAGAAAAACATGTCACACGACATATTTTAAAAGTCCTTGTACATGTGTAAACTATTCTGAAAAGTCAAGTACAATTATTGAATCCCTGTACCTACGTACAGTAATGAAAAAATAAATATGCTGTAATGTTTAAAAGTTCACACTTTTGCCTAGAGTCTGACAGAAAGCCCAGGCTGAAGCCCTGTCCCTAGTTTACCAGACTTAAATCAGCATGCACCCCTCTTATCTCATTACTCATTCAGACTGGGAGATGTGGATCATTAAGCTGGGTACTAATTTGCTCCTAAACTGCACTCATTCATCATTAGCTGGCAGTGAGAGGTTGACCAAGTCAGTTGTAGAATACTTCTGTGACCCTCCCATGGATTGTATATTTTCTGCATGAGCTACTTAATAAATTCTCTAGAAGTTATTTTAACAGTTTTAGTAGCCATTTTGTTAAACAAGATGATTTCTGCGGCCAGGTTAGTAAAGAGGTATCTTTGTCATTTCACAATTTATCTTCTGTACTCTGGATATATATGTTTGCTATTACCTTCTGTACTGTGCAAAAAGGGCATTTGTGTACTGTTCTTTATAAAAAGACTTGTCTGATGGACTATTATGATAAATCACAACAAAATTTGACATTGCACAGAATGCTGTATCTTCACTGGGGCAACACAGTATCAGTAAGATAATTTTGCAGTAACTTGTCCCTCAGATTATTTTTTATAATAAAGATATTCTCAGTAATCATTTGGTGGATGAAGAACTACAAATGTCCATAGTATGAATCTTCACCCTCATGTGTTGTGCCAGCAAAGCTTTAATAAATCTCAAATAAATTAAAACTATTTTTAAATAAAATGTATGGGTATGCAAGCATCCCAGCAGATTGGGAATTAAGCACATTTGCAAGGCATAAGCTGCCCAACATTTTAGTTAAGGAAACTTCTCTAATGGAAATTTTACAGACCATATGTTGCCTTTTCAAAGACCTCTGGGGGTTTTGCCATCTTATAATAGTTTAGAAAAATATGAGCATAATACAAGTTAGAGACAGGAGCAACACAAGAAATCACTAATTTTATCCACAAAGCAAAATTATTTTTCTAGAAGACACAGCAGATGCTTATCATCTTAGTATTGTTGTATTTTTTGTTTAATAATTAAAATAAACCACATATTTTGGGGGCTTTTTCCCCATGGTACGGAACTAGAACTGTTCACCCTAAGAAAGAAAAAGACACATGTTTAGAAAAGTATATTGAAATGTACTAAGTCACTGAATTACCTGATTTTTCAGAGGGAAGTGAAACACTGTTTTTTCCAGGATCCAGAATAACTGCCAACCCTGCAGAGACTGATGGGAGGATGCTGGTACTGAGATCTATGCGAGTTAAACTCTCAGGTTCTCTTTTCAAGGCTTTTGGAACACCCCCAACACAGCTATATTCTGTCTTCTCCTTGTCCTGACTGTTCTTCTGTGGACTTTCAACAATATGAACAATGCTCTGCTGGGCCAGGTCACAGTTCTGTAACACAAAACCAAAATTGTGATAAATAATTAATTCTGACCTAATGGAGAAAATCCCTCTATCTCCAGTTTGTTATTTGTTAAATGGTCTCCAAACCATTTTGTGGAGAATTTCAGTGTGCAGTAATGGAGTTTAAAGCAAAGTGACAAGTGTAAATTGCTGGAATTAGGATTACGTGCATTGCCAAAAGGGTCACAACACTTACAAGTGCTAAACATTTAACAAAGAAATTGTGGACCAGAGCCAACACCTCTAAATAAGTCAGGTTTATTGGCACAAACTAAAACATCTCCAGAGGGAGCAAGCACTAAGAATATTCAACACTTAAGGGGAACTTGCACAGATAATGCTGAAACAGACTCTTAATGTAGCAATTTAGGGTAAAACTTGATGATCACAGATAGTTCATGAACAAGCTACTTCAAAATATTTTTATCATCAGGAACAGGAAAGATGATGCTACTGATGAAGAGTTGACAACCTTTGATTGAGAGAAAGCCTGTGGAAGATTTCAAGACTGTTATGGTCTTTCATGATTAAACAAAAAAGCTGCCAGCCATTTTAGCCCAAAATGAGACCATTTTATGGTCTCACAAATACAGAAGCTCTCCTCATTTTCAGTCCTCTCCAGAAGTGATTCTTAGACAGTCTTTCCAGATCTTGTGTCTTAGAAAATAGCAGGGTAAATAAGGATCTCATGAAAGGATTATGGATGTCTTTCACAACTTCTTCATTATTTTCACAATACAGAACCCCAAAGCAAAATATTATGTCAGAAATAGAAATTACAGAGATTTTGGAAGACCTATCATTAGCAAAGGTCTTTCAAGAAAGACTTGTATTGCTCTTTCCACAACACACCTTGCAAGAAAAAAATGTTCTTTATTTGGTGATACCTTCGGGAGACCCAATTCTTCAGGGTCATGAATGAACATAAGCATCAGCCTACACAGAAAGTGGGTAGTCTGTCAAAAAATTAATTTTCTAACTCTCTGCAGTGTCATTAGGTTGTGAAACTCTCTGCTGTGAAATCTCAAAGCAGACTTTTGAATCTGTTTGGGAGAAACAGAAAGAGTTCTGATGCATTTGTCTTTGTTTCTACACAATACTTAAAAATTGTCATTTGTATATGCAACTACCACACACACTTTAATTGTAAAAGATTCCTTTACAGATATTTTAGTGGTCTTTATAGCCTCATTCTTCCATGCTCTCTTCTGCTACTTCTGTTCTGGTCACTGTTATGTTGAGTGGTTTTCCGTCATGCTCTTAGATTATTTCTCAGTACTTCTCCCTCCACTCTTTATTTTTATGCAATGTAATTTAAAGGACAAAAATCTGGCTTTTGTTTTGTTTTAATTGAATTTTCAATAACTCACTCTCTCCTTAGTGAAGCAGTAATCAGCCAGCAGATGTTTGCTAAAGAAAGGACACTGCAATCTTAATATTCAAGCAAAGCAATTATTAGATTTCAACCTTAAAAGATCATGTTGACATTAAAGGTCTCTCCTTTTTTATTTTTTTTTTAACATCTTGTTGCCCATAGCATTTAAACAAGATCCATTTAAATAGCTCAATCATTTCATTATTAACACAATATACAAAACCAGTCTGTCATTCTAAAACTTCTACCACTAAGAATACTGTGTGGCATTATAGAATTTAATAATCTAAAATAAATTAATAATGAAATTAATAACTAGGTAAATAAGAGCTCAAAACTGATTTGCTCAGTTACAGTGAGAGTTTAAAAAGAGAAATAGGTATTTATGTAAAAACTCACAGCTTTGGAAACCCCTAATAAACTGTCAATCAGTCATACTCTGTTTTAATGATCACCTCTTCCGGCAGTTTTGCTTACTTACGCAGACAATGTCCTGCCTTTCTTTTTTTCCTCAATATTTACTGTCCTTCTCAGTAGGTTGTTTTGTTTTTTTTAAGCTTGCATCAGTTCCTGGTTCAGCTCACTGCCTGATGCTGTGCTACAATCACACTGAGGGGATAGTGCATATGAGAGAATAAAAGGGATGGGAAGAGCTACTTAAACAAAACAAAATTCTCCTACAATCCTGGGTATATCAATTCATCTTTTAAAAGTATAAGTCTTTTCAGGTTCTTTTTGCAAGCTGGAGGCTTTGTGGTTAGCTCAGAAACAATGGAAGGGCTGACAAAATAGAACTCCATCTTACCTACTATTCTCTCTTCAGCAATATCAAGAACTACATAATTCAGAAAAAGCTGCAAAATTTGCACTTTAGGCAATTCTATAGATTGCCTCAGCTGGTTAGACCACAGTGCTAATTATGCCAAGGTTGTGGATTTTATCTCTGCATGGGCCATTCACTTCAGAGCTGGACTCAATGAACCTTGTGGGTCTCCTCCAACCCAGAATATTCTGTGATTCTGTATATGACCATAGCAATAGTGGCTTTTTGTATTTTCCTTAATAAAATTTTAAAAGAACAGGTAACATGCTGTATCTTAGTTTTCTTCCATCTCTTTATCTAAAACAAAAACAAGCTTTGACAGGTTGAACATCACTACTGCTGATGACAGTGTAGATAATGGTCTCAGGAAAGCTTAATTAGCGGATCTCAGGATGACTTTCAAAGAGCAGGTAGGCGAAAGAACCAACATCCTTTGATATTTACCCTGTGTAGATTTCATATGGAAGCCACGGAGCAATAACAAACATGGTATCCTAAATCATCAGTTTTGCAATGTTTTTCTGAGTACATGTGAATGGAATTTGGCTTGTGTTTAAAGGGGGAAGGTAATCCTCAACCTTTGTAAGAAAAGTGATAAAACCATACAAGAAGAAAATAAAAAGAGTTGTGATCATATGTTAATTGTGGAGAGATCTGGATGGGAACCTAACCAAGTATTTCCCAGAATATAGGTGATTAATGCTTTATTGCAGGTTACATTTCATGGACAATAGATGGGTTAAATCGACAGCTTCTTTTTTGAGAAAAGAAGTAGAATTCTGTTTCTGTGAGAGTTTAGGTTGTGCCTTAGGTTACTATTGTAAGATACAATTATTTATGTCAATGTCATTTTTGTTTCCTTCATGTATTTGTTTTACCCCTCAGGAAACATGCTTTTGACTATACCTATTATTAATGGTTCTAGAGATATTGTCTTGTCTTATCTGCTGATTCAAATTAATGCCTGTGTGCCATATTCCAATGGGAAAAACTACAAGTGTATAAAAAGTAGATTGTGAAGTATCTTCTTTAACTAGAGCAAAGGGAACTGAAACAATCAAAAAACTATGGAACTCAGTAATAAGGACTGGATCTTTAGAGAAAATAGGTTTTGGCCAACTTGGGAAAATTAATTCAGAGCAAAAAAATTAAAATTAAAACTTTTTTTCATTCAAGCCTTTTACTTGTTTTTTCCTGAATTCTCAAGCTGAATTTCACAAGGCTGAATCAGCACATCCTGAGTGAACAACACAATAGCCTTTGTTGGTGAGAGCAGTGGGCTAACTAGAAGGTCAGCTGGGAAGACTGAAATAAATTATGAAAAAGGAAAAGATGACTGTGTTTAAGTTACTCTGAAATCCTCTTGTTAGGAACAGGCCAATGGGGAATGTTTTTAAACAAAAAGATTAGATGTCAGGAAGAAATTCACCACTGAAAGGGTGATGAGGCATTGCAACAGGTTGCCCAGAGAAGCTGTGGATGCTCCATCCCTGGAAGTGTCTGGGGCCACCTGATCCTAATGGGTAGCATCCCTGTCCACAGCGAGGGGTTGGGAACTACATAATCTTTATTGTCCCTTCCAACCCAAACCATTCTGTGGTTCTGACAGGTTTCTGTTTGATATCTTCTTCACAACATATTTGGATAGCAATAGCAATCCTGAAAGGAATTTTCTCAGTCTAACAAATGTAAAGACCACAAGAGATGTCATATTTTCTGAAGTGCAATACACTTCATTTTGAAATGTACTGCAATAATTTAAAATTTTATTTAAAGAAACATTAATGCAGAAAATAGTTTGAATCTGAAGCTTTGTATGTGAATATAAAAAAGCTTGTGGCGTTTTGTCTAGAAAAGGAATTTGACACATTTCCATTTCCTGCTAACCATGAGTTGGGAGTTTTAAGGTGTTGAGGTATTTTCTTATTGCATATCAATCACAAAGAAAAACTCTTTACACTCCACTACCTATGATTCAATTTGAAATTCCACCTTTTATGCTACCTGGAGATTCACACCTTTACCCATGAATCCCTGGGGCCTATTGTGGATACAGTAACAGTGGAATTGTCAAATTGCTGCGTATTTAGATCAAGCAGATAATAGACTGCCTGATGCCAGTCCCTAAGAGATTCACATAAGGCCAATGCTCAAGAAAAAGTATTTTCTAAGAGTGATCAAGAAGACCCAAAAAGTTGGCTTTCCAGTTTTGTTGGGTTTTTTTCCTTAAAAATAGCATAACACATCCCTTCAAACCAATGGAACCCCATGTAAAAGTGTGAATGATGCACTGATTTTATTTTTTCAAGGTTAATGTAGAGAGACATTAAAAATTACCCTCAAAAACAGACAAAAAAGCATATGAAGTTCCCAGAAGAGAGAGAAAAAAAAAGCTCAGCAAGCCTTTCTCAACTGTTGCTGTAACCCTTTCACAAGGATATGGCCCAGGTCTCGAAAGCAGCAGAAACAAAAAGGAAATCAATTGGAATAGGAAACACTATTTCATCCCCTGATCACAGTGAATGCAAAAAAAAAAAAAAGGCAAGAAGAAAAAAGCTACACCACGATAATACACTTAATTATATAGGGTATAATAATGAATTTGAGAGTAGAGGCTACCTAAAATAAAATATACAGATACAGCAATAATATTCTGTTGAGCCATGTCAGTTTAAGAAATTGGAACCAAGATTTGCAAGAAGACTTAACTTCTTTTATTTGATCAGCTAATATAGAAAGAAAAATCACCTTCTGGGCTCAGAGAATATTATGCAGATCATAGCAAGAGGA